AAATGTCCTTCGCAGGTCGAGTGGATGGTAATTTCATCTGTTCGTGTTTAAAGGGTTATATTAAGTTTCAGTAGTTGAGCTAAAAGTTGCACATGCATTACAGAAGTATAAAAAAATAATGTAAAACTATCCCCAAAAAATAACAGTACACGTAAAGAACATTCATTTCTCATTATAGGAAATCGCCCTTTTTGAAAAAAAGATAACTGATATTAAATACAGCAAATTGCAACTTGTCAGCATGAGATAACAACGAATTTTAATTTTAATTTGGAAAAATGTCCATAGAAAATAAAAACATGTAAGATTACTGAATCCTACAAAAAGTATAAACAAAAATAAATGACAAATTAACTCCTTGGCTTCATCTTGTTTAGACTTTCTAACCTAATTTTTGTTTGTTTGTTTTGAATTTCGCGCAAAGCTACACGAGGGCTATCTGCGCTAGCCGTCCCTAATTTAGCAGTGTAAGACTAGAGGGAAGGCAGCTAGTCATCACCACCCACTGCCAACTCTTGGGCTACTCTTTTACCAACGAATAGTGGGACTGACCGTCACAATATAACGCCCCCATGGCTGAAAGGTTGAGCATGTTTGGTGTGACGGGGATACGAACCCGCGACCCGCAGAGTGCGAGTCGAGTGCCCTAACCACCTGGCCTTGCTGGGCCCCCTAATTTTTGTTCTCTTGCTATGTGCATGAAATTCTCGACCTACTGTCCTTGTTTTATTACTGTCGGCCTAATAAAACAAAACATTCTAAACCTTCTGTTTCTCTGGAAACTGGAAGAATTTACAAAAAGACAGTCCACAAAGAACAAGTATTTACATATCCCCCCCCCTCCAGTATTCTGTGAATTATCTGTAAATCTGAAAATGACTCATTTAAAAGCCTGGTATTTTATAATGTCAACATGGACTAACCTTAGCAAACTTGAAAAATGGCCTTGGGTCCTTCCTGAAATAATGGATGTCAAACATTGCCTGGGGATCTGGAAGTTCGGGAAAATCTTTACTGAGACGAGCATAAATACCATTTCTAGATCTAAAGTCTGGTATTCCACATGACACTGATACCTACAGGGAAAAATATATAGAAATGTACTATAATATGCTGATTAACTTTATAAGGTCAAAGTGTGCATGTCACAACTTTTTATAGAGTTACTTTCAAAACTTAATAAAACAATTTATTAGTAATGTATGCTAATATACATGGAATCAAAACATAGTTTATAATTGAAGTTTTGATCTCTTAATTTCAAAATGAAATATAAAAGAAATCTCTATCTTCACTATTCTATGTCAAGTGATGCTTCTGGCTTTGATTTATCTCTTTCAGAATTTACTAGCGTTAAAACTAGATAGCTAAGACTAACATCTAATTAGAAACACAAACTACATATAATGACAAATAGGAATACATATCTGAACCTCATACTTTCGTGACTTGTTGAGATATCAATGAATTTGTGAAACCCACCAGAGCAGCCCCTACATCTTTTCTATGTGTTTCAAACCAATTATTACATCATGTTTACTTAACCTGACAGACATGTTTATATCCAATAGAAAGAGCATATTTTATTGTACATGAATCTAAAGACCATCTGTTTCTATTTGGCAGTTAAAGATGGTAGTTCAAAAGAAAAGCTTGACGTGTGACGAGTAAAGTTGTTGCTCCTAAAAGTAAGGGAATATTTTAACCTGTTCATAATTCAATTAGAAAGCCAGATGAATTACAGTAATTTTGGGACATTCTATTTTAGTGTTCAATATATTCTTTTGTTTTCTAGAATGCATATTTGAAAACTACACAAATTACTTTTTGGACAATCAACATAATGAGGTAAAAAGTAGAGTTACTAAAACACAGCATCCGAGTAGAAATCAGCCTCGATGCCTAAAGCAAGCGTAAAATTTCTTGTTGTTATGCATATGTTTGTATATGTATTTTTAACAAAATAACCAAGATGTAAAAAAATAAAACATGTGAGCTAAAACTATGTGTAACTTGATTGGTTTGTTTACTTTATCTGTGTTCTGTGGAAGCTGTTTATTACTGCAGGAAAAACAATAAATCCCAGAAAATACCATATCTATTTCACCCTAAAGAAAACATATGTCGAAAGGTTATCATTTAAAACTGTAAAGATAATTAACCTGAAGATATGCATTCAAACTAAAAACAAAAAAGGTGTCATTAATTTTATTTGTTTTTTTTAGCTGGTGTTAAGGTAGAAAAAAATAAACACATAAAACAAAGTTTTTACCCTCAAAAAATTTTTGATAGTCGTTTAGGAAGTTCTAGAGGATATGCAAATGAAATATAAACACTTTAAAATGAACATAAGTATTTTTAATCGTAACATAAAAATCATCTTTCACTCAGACTGACTTATAATGTTTACTAAAAGCTTGTATAATGTCACACTTCCGGGGTGGGTGAGCTGGCCTACTTCTTAAAGAAAAGTTTGGTTTGTTTTCTTTTGCTCAAAGCTACACAAAGGCTATCTGTGCTAGCTGTCCCTAATTTAGCAGCGATACACTAAAGGGAAAGCAGCTAGTCAACACCACCCACTGCCAACTCTTAGGATGCTCTTTTACCAATGAATAGTGGGATTGACCATCACATTATAAAGTCCTCACAGCTGAAAGGATGAGCACGTTCGGGACAGAGATTTGAAACTACGACCCTCAGATTGCGAGTCAAGCACCCTAACAACCAGCCATGCCAAGGCCATACAGAAAGAGTTAATAAGTGTTTGAAACATCTTTTGCTTTGAAACAAAAGTAACACTATAAATCAATATTTGCTCAAAATTTTATGTGTCTGTACAATTCCCAAAACTATATTTTGGAAATTAGCTTAAGGGTATGAACCCTTAACCTCCAAAATTCATCAATACCAACAACATATACATATGTATGTGTGTGCAATGAGTTATAACGAAGTATGATGTCAATGCTGCAACATTTTTATACAAAAAAGTGATTTCCATTTTTGTTATAATAATTTAGACATACCCCAGCTCCCGTGAGAACCATTATATTTTGAGAAGTTTGAATAAGGTGGACTACATCATCTAAGGTGTTAACATGGGGTAGTTTGGTTCGACGAGGAGGTTCATTCAGCATACTGACGATTATTTTCCACATGGTGAGGGGATCTAAATATGGAGGAATAAACGTGATTTGTGGTACAAGCTCTTCCAAGATGATTCGAGGGTCAACTCCTTGCATTATCTGCTGCTGAACCCAAGTAACTGGCCCTAGGTAAAATATAATAAAATTAGCTAAGAGTTACAACAATTTTGTTGCACAGATAATAATAAAAAAGGCTTCAAATAAATGTATGAGAACAGAATTCTATAGATATGTTTTTAAGCTAATATTTACTACCTCTGAAAGGAAGAGAAACAAAATGAGAAAAATAACTGTGGTACGTGTAACAACCATTTCTTTATAATAGAACACAATTATAAATAAAAGTACTCTCCTCACAACAAGAACACAACTTTCACTAGGACTATATGTGTTTGATTATATCTTTATTGATGTAATTTTTAAATGTAATACTGAGAAACTGGAGTTCTTAAAAAACTTTCACTATTCGGTTCCACAAAAACATTACAGTTTATATCAGTACAATTTATGAAAAGTTTCAATTCTGTACATTGAGTCATTTTGATGCAATGAGTTACGTATGACTAAAGAGCACAATCCGAACACTTTTCCCGTGCAGTACTTCACAGAAAAAAAATCCCTTTTTTAAAAAAAAAAGTTAAATTATTTTTAATGAGGTATAAATACTATGATTAGAAATTACTAGCAGCCATAGAGAGGCATTTCTGCTAGTTCTATTAACGTAAATAAAATATTGACCTGTATCTCCAGAATGTAGCTTTATTAGCTCAATATTTCTCTATTACAACCTCGTCAGGAGCTATCAATATCTTACAAGTTCACTAATCCAGTTGTGTTACACAAAGTTAACTTAATTCTCACTATTTTCGATGATATATATAATTTATTTCATACGTGTAAACAGTGATATAAAACACCATTTTACAAAATTTGTTACATCTTTGTTATTGGGAAGTGATTAATTAAGAATCACAAAAGTGGTTTAAGTTTATTCCTTACATAAATATAAAATTCATGGTACAGACATACTGTTGTGCCTTGCTTTTCTTCCTTTTGTATTGTTCACATCACTATTGTTTTAATAAGTATGAATAAAAACCCTATAACCTGAGTGCTTTCAGAAGGTGGACTCTTCGAAAATGCTCGGGTTACGAAGTTTTTATTCATTTCTATCAAGACTTCTTGAACATATGTGTTTTTCTAACATCATGTCTTTATAAGTACGCATACACACAAGTTCAAGCACCAATACCTACTCAGTTAATAATTATTACAGATATAATAAAACTTTTTTATTTAAATCGTACGTAATTTAAAAAGAGACTCGTTTAAGACAAAAAAAAAATCTATAAGGACCACCGCGAAACTAGAAAATTTACATAACACAAAAGTTTCCTGTACAGCATATAATGAAACTGTATCACAAGGAAGTGAAAAATAATTTTGTTTAATTCCCATATTGTGGGAAAGAGCAGCTTTGTAAACATTAATTTTATTAGTATTTAACTCTTAAGATTCTAGGTGAATCGAACTGATGCACCCACCTGTTGTATGGTTTTTGTTTTATTGCCTCAAATAAAGAAATTCTATAAATAAAATATTGTATTTTCAATTGTGTTAGAAGTTCTTCACAAGAATCTTTTCTTTTGGCAAAAGATAACTAAGTTTTTGTTATTTTGTTCCCATCTCTATGTGAATCTCTGCTGTTAATTTTTTATAATTTTTAAATCCAATAGTGCAATGTTCACCTCGAGGTGGGTACCCGACGTAACAGAGGTGAAAATGGGTTTCATTTAGCAGGGTTTCTAAGTTTATAGAAAGAAGGAAACAAAGCTGAGTTTCCTAATAACTGTAACACAAGACAAAAAAGCAAATCCAGTGACTTGTACTTTCATCAGTAATTGTAGTTGTCTTGTCTGTAGCTGCTGTTCAGTAAATTCCGTACGTGACTTGTACTTTCATCAGTAGTTGTCTTGTCTGTAGCTGCTGTTCAGTAAATTCCGTATGTGACTTGTACTTTCATCAGTAGTTGTCTTGTCTGTAGCTGCTGTTCAGTAAATTCCGTACGTGACTTGTATTTTGATCAGTAATTGTAATGTCTGTAGCTGCTGTTCAGTAAATTCCGTACGTGACTTGTACTTTCATCAGTAGTTGTCTTGTCTGTAGCTGCTGTTCAGTAAATTCCGTACGTGACTTGTATTTTGATCAGTAATTGTCTTGTCTGTAGCTGCTGTTCAGTAAATTCCGTA